GCATATTTTCAGCATTGTAAGCTATCCTGGCTGCCATTTGATATTGGATTTTAATTTGCACAGGACATTCTTTTCCTTGGCTCTTTTGATTGCAATCTGGTCCTCTCTTGGCAGAGATTTCTTTTTGTGAAGCATACTGTTGCCGTATGCAATAGGCAACAATAAACTACAGAAGAACTCAAAATTGATCACTGTACTTGAGTATTGCATTAATATTTAAGCTTACCTCTTAAAAATAAATGATAATTCTTCTGCCACCACTTAATTTAAAGAACAATTTGATGTGTGTAGTTCTTTACTTTCCATAAACCAATTATTTTTAATTCATGAGTGACTTTCGCTGGATTTTGCAATTAATTTTGATTATTCTCAAATTTATTTCCAAGTTATAAGAATTGTTATTGTACAAAAAAATTTATCACAAAAAATCCCGATAAAAAAAAAGAAAGAAAAAGAAAAAGAAAAAAAAAAAGAAAAAGAAAAAAAAAAAAAAGAAAAAAGAAAAAAAAGAAAAAGAAAAAGAAAAAGAAAAAGAAAAAGAAAAAAATTCGCCGAAAACAACCATAGTAATGAAAACTTGGAAATCCCAAATTTATATAGCATGAGCTATTGAAAATTAAAGCGTTGTGTCCCTTTGATTGAAAAAAGCATCATACAGTGACACACAGACATTGGCATTTATTATATAGATTTAGACACTTGAAGTAATGTCAGTAGCTTGTTTCAGGAAAATAAATCAAATTTTAAAGAGTGTGTGGTGGTAAAGCAACGACTGATAGTAGCAGATAGGAAAAAAGCAAGGAGGGTAACCAACAAAACAGTGTCACACATCCAACCTTCTCACAAGCAAAAACCCCAGTAATCAGAAACAAAAACGCAGCTGTTTTATACAGCCGAGGACCGACCACCATTTGCATGCGAATGACGAGACGAGATTTCACGTTAACTGTCTGAGACCACCTGGCATAAAACATGGGTGCCACCATTTTGGTTCTTTTAACCATTGAGCAACCGGAGTTTGCATATCGCAGATTCGCGGGCGTTTCCGAGGTAAGCCATTTTCACAATTTTCCCCACACTCCCCCCTGATCTCATGATCACAAACAGGGCAAGGAGGTGGCAATCGTTGCCATCGAGTCCCCCTCCGAAGGAGGACAACACAAGCTTCATCCTCATGCGTGCTCTCGTCTGTGGTTTGAGTGTCGATAAACACCGTGTCCGCTGGGAGGCTGCTGATATTGGAATCACTGCCCTGCAGGTCTAACTCCAAGCAGATTGAACGCTCACTACTCTCAGACTCGGAATCGCTTTCATCGCTCAGTAATGGTAGTGGTTGCATCACCAGTTGCAAGTCTTTAATGTGACAAGGCACCCATCAACTCTCACAGATTGCGGGCTAATCACCTCCATAATACGTCCAGTGCCGTATTTTGTTGTACACTTGCCGCGTGGGTTTTTGACCCAAACAACATCTCCTTTTTTCAATCCCCGTCTGGTCACTTTTAGTTCAGGCAGCGGGTTGGCTTCAATGCCTTTCACTTGGACATGATACTTATGCAGTGCATCAGCCGGCGCTGTGGACGGTGAAATGTTATCTTTCAGGGAGAAATTATATCAGTAAACCATCTCCGATACTGTACAGCCCTTCCTGGCTGCGATGGTCTTGACGGTTCTGTGGTTTCGCTCTACGATGCCGTTTCCACTCCGCGAGTAGGCACATCGAAACTGCAGATGCACGTCCCAATTGTCCGCAAATTTCTTAAAGTCTTTACTGGTGAATGCAGTATCGTTGTCAGTCAGTATTTCCATGGGTGGGCCTCGCTCCAGGAAAGCATTCTCCAACAGTCAAATGACGGTGCTCACATCTTGTTGGCACAGCAGCCGCCACACCTAGAGGGACAGCAATCAATAAGCATTAGAAAATTCTCACCATTGTAGTGAGTTATGTCCATCGCTAGTCTGCTCCAGATGCTCTTCACGCTCAGTTCTCCTCTTTCCCAGTGAACAGGTGCCGGATCAATCAACTGACAGGTTGTGCATGCCTTCACAATGGATTTAACGCTTTCTCTGGACACCTGCGGGTCAACTAACCTGGCGAAGTACAGAGTTCGTTTCACGCCCGGATGTCCGCTTTGACGATGGGTATTGGCCACCTGGTCCTCGTCCAGTCGTCTCCCTACCACTGCACAGCTCTCAAGCACTGGTTCTCCTCTCTTGAGCAGATCTAGCCACCTACACAGTACTCTGGTGAGGCGATCCGCACGGTTCTGACAGGACTGTATGAGTGTCACATCTATGGTCAATCCATATTCTTCCACCAGCGATCGCATAATGCCCAGCTGTCGCCTAACCAGCATCTCACCAGCCGCCCTTGTGTTCACCTGTGCCTTCCCGGTCAAGGTGTTGGAAATCCACCGGTGCACACACGCCGAATCAATAACCAAAGTGCCTTTGTCAGTTTTTTATCACAAGAAATTGACAATTCTGACAATTCAAACATGATTTTGTTTACTTGCAATATTTAAGTCTTCAATTGGAATGTGGCAATCTTCAATACAATTACATTTTATTTTTCTATTAAAATTTAACTTTCATTTGATATTTCTTTTAGTTTTATTATCAAAATTGTTCTGATTTTAATATCAGAGGATAAGTTATTAGATTAGAGGTGCTTAGCTAAGTTAATGGCCTGTGATTTGCTGAAATAGCTTGTGGTGGTAAAGTAACGACTCAACTGATAGTAGCAGATGGGAAAAAAGCGAGGAGGGTAACCGACAAAACAGTGTCACACGTCCAACCTTCTCACGAGCAAAAACCCCAGTAATCAGAAACAAAAACGTGCCTGCTTTATACAGCCTAGGACCGACCACGATTTGCATGCGAATGACAAGACAACGAGATTTCGCGTTAACTATCCGAGACTGTCTGTCATAAAACATGGGTGCTGCCATTTTGGTTCTTTTAACTGTTGAGCAACCGGAGTTTGCATATCGCACAGATTCGCAGGCGTTTCCGAGGTAGGCCATTTTCACAATTTTCCCCAGTCTGTAGTTTTATTGCCATGAAGAGGAAATGTTCATACAACCGATTAAATGATCTGATCCAAAATAATATTAAAAAAATGTTTAAAACAAATGTAAGAGAGTTTATTGCTCACTGAAGGGATATATGGTTTGCATACATTCAAAAGTAAACGAAGAGAGATAGTTTGAAATACTTAGCATTCTTGGATTGTTAAGAGAAGATTCTTTGAAATGCCGCATGCTGATTAGACGCCGATAATATAATTGGCGAGTACTTCAACTCACAAGGTACTAAAACAAAACCTTTCACTGGACTTCAGACACTCTTCTCATTAATTTTTCTCCTTATTTTATATCAAAAAGAATTTTGCATAGGCTCCCTATTTTCGTTCCTTCTTCTTGGTTCACCAACTAATTCTTTTGAAGGCAAGGTTTTCATTGGTCAAAAAAAATTTCCACAGAAGCTCACAAATTTCTTTCCTTCTCCTCAGCTCACTGGTTAATTTCTGTGAAAGACAAAAATCTCACATAGGCTCACAAATTTCTTTCCTTATTATCTTGCACTCACTACCACTGCATTGTTGAGGGTTGTCAAGGCTTCAGTAATTCGCATCTTCAGATCATCCACATCTCTGGGAAGGGGAGGCACGTAGACGAAGTCTTTCACATACCCCCAGTCTGTCCAGAACATCCGACCCATCTGTCAGGCAGAGGGGTGTTCAGATTTAATTCATTAAATTAACTTAACAGAAGAAAGCTTGTAACACTTACTTTTAGCATTTAAATGCTACCATTTGTAGTTCTTGTCCAGCCCAAATCTTTTCGGCTGGCAGGTCAAACTCTCTGCGTCTGAGAAGAGAGGAAACCGGAGCCTCGTTCGGGGAAGTTGACCAACCCGATCCCGTTTATGCTACGGGCTCGGAGAACCCACGTTAAACCCGACCTTGTGCCACATGCAACCCTCGTGGGTGGGGGGTTGCTGAATATACCATTTGTAGTTCTTAGAATGTGACATAGGCTTTTGAAACACTCTGTAAGGATGATAACCTCAGGTACAATGAGAGATATTTCCATTTCTAAAACTGAGGAAATAACTTTGTTTTCTATGCGCGTGTTAATTTGCTTAACGAACCTGTTGTTGGTTTAAGTAAGCAATTGAAACTTAACAACTTTCTTGTTTGTATTTTGGCTTTGGGATGTAATCACCATTTTTTTTCTAAATAAAAAATATCAACATTTTCGGAACTACAACTTAAGAAAGAAACAAGAAAACTAAAAATTTCAATTTTCATCAAGATTTGAAGTAACAAAAAAAAAAGTGTGAAGAAAGTATGGAAAGAGATCGGATTTTATTTTTAAATAAAATGAAAAAATACCCTGGTTCTTCTTACCAGACATTAAACTGCATTGCATTGAAAAGAAAAGTAACATCATAGCAATATTCATTTTTTATCTTTTTGTTTTTTTCCTGCTAGATACAGATAGATACAGATCAAATCAATTCTTTTAAAATTTTATCATTTCTCACCAAATCCAGCAGTTCTTCTTTATTTTTATGACTTTATTTTCCTTAAACCTTCTTTTTTTTTAATTTACACTTTTAAATTTTTACAGCCTAGAAAAATGTCATCCTCGGCAAAAAAAGATCCAAGACGAGAAATAAATAAATAACTCTAAAAAATACAAATAAGTGATTTTTTAATGAACGAAAAAGATGATCGAATAATTTTATTTTTAAGAAACCAGGACAAATTTCTCTAATCCGCTCTACAAACTAACGAATTTCATATTCAAATCTTTTAAAAAATTAATTTTAACTTAAGTCTCACTGACATTCTGATAGACGGATCGAATTTTGTTTCACTAACCGAAGTTTCTTTCTTTTCTCTTACTGCCAAAAAAATTGTTGCTTTAAGAAAAGAAAAAAAAAACATTAACATTTTTTTTTGTTTGAAATAAAAAAATAAAAAATCCTACCTCCCTGTTTTGTCATAACAAACTTCTGTATGTCCTGGACAATGGCCGTATCGAACAGATGGTATCGATTCTTTTGTTTCTGTCATTTTTTGTCTATAAAATGTTACAAAACTTCTTTTGAACAATCGAAACCGCGTTTTTGTTGTTCCTTAAACATTCGCCTTTCCCGCCAACTGCAGATCTGCAGTAAATGCTTCCGTTGATAACTCAGCAATAGTAATTTTGCTAATTAAAGTAATAGAACATTTACAACTTAAACATTTTGCATTGTTTTTTTTATAAAAAATACGCGTAGTGACCAAATAAACACAATTTATTGCTATATTTTTTTCATGAATCACTTTGCTACCCCAAACTTTCATAGTATTCAGTGCGGGATACATAGATATAGGCTAACAAAAAAATGGCGTCCGGTAAGTTTTTGACACATTTTTGTGATTCGTTATTCCTACTGATATTGATGTTTGGGGGTTTTTTTTTTTCTATCATTTTAGCTTTAATTTTGTTAAAATGCTTAGTCATATTTTAATTTTTAGCTTCTGTTGATTCTAATTGTTAATTTTGTAAGCTTTTTATAAAATAGAGTATTTAGAAAATATTCGTGGCCGACTGCGATCACAAAATGGGGGACTTGTTCTTTCACTCTATTGTTTATACATTTTTTTTTATTTTAAAGAAATAATTTTATTTCAGAACTTATTGAAAAAAGTTTTTGCTATAAATATGTAGTAGCATTTATGGAGCGTAAACTTTTCGAGACTCGTTTTTCTTCCCAAACTATTGTACTTGTGGCAAAGTAATCTTCACTTCAAGAAAAGCTGACCTAAGAATTTTTACTATAGAGTCCATAGACATTTTGCCGTAGCTTCAACAAAAATCACTGGTTACTTTATTGAACGCACGCCTTAATTTACTATAAATGATAATAATAATAATAATATATATATATAATTCTGATTTTATGAGTACAATATTAGGCATGAGCTCTCTAAATGATTTGCACAAGTTCAATTTGTTTTTCTCTCGACGAATCTCAATCAGCTGATTTACTGTCTATTTTTACGTTGTTATCAGATGAGCAACTAGAGTACCCCATTTAAAAAATATTAACTAATTAAGCAATTTCCGTGTCGGTTTAAATAAAATTTAGGATTTTTAAATAGAGTGAATAATTAAAATTAACGGAAATAAACCTGGTGTAACAAATTTTATTTGGTTGTTTTTTGTTTTGTTTTTATTTTTTACTTGTAAATAATGATTAATAATGTAATTGTGTAAACTTTACTTTTTGTTAGTCTGCAATTTTTTTATTTACAATTTAAGTTTTTTCCTGTTTATTGACGCAATTACTTCACCTTTCAGTAAAAATTTGATTTTTTTAAATTTATTCGATGTCTTACGTGGTTTGAATTTCAAATTAAAACCACTAATTAAATTTCAATCATATTGACTTAAATTAGTTTAAATTGCATTTTATAAGTCGTCAAAAAACAGCGAGTATAACTTCCCTCTTAGTTGTAGTCACTTAGGCTAAAAAATAAAACTAAAAACTAAGGGTTGATTTACAACCACACCCAAAGATTGCCTTCTTACTCTGCACACACATGGTTGTGTTGTGAAGTGAGTAAGTACATTTTTTTTTCTTTTATAAGTAAACCTATGTATTTCAGTTCATTTTAAACTAGTTTGAATTTCTTAATTCCGACTCTCAAAACAAATTGTATTCATGCCCCATTTTTTTTTATCAGAAAATAAAAGCATTATTTACTTGTAGGATACAATTTTTTTAATACTCATTCATTGGTTAATGAATGATAATTTTTTTTTTTAAGTGTAATCAGCAGCATCATTCTATCGGAGACATTCAATAAAAAAAATGATTTTGTTAAAAACCGAAACGAAAATCTTGGAATGTAAATTAAATCTTTAAGCTAAAAAGATTAATTAATTTAAAAGCAGATTAAAAACAGATGGTACTGTTTTAAAGCAAAAGTTTAATGTGATCAAAATCCGCTGAAAAGAGGATTTATGGATTTAATAATTATGAAATCGGTTTTACTTTGGTTCATTTGCAACGAAGGAATGTGATGTTGCTGAAAAGCTGTTGTTATCCTATTTCAGATTTTAAAAAGATGATCTTTTTTTTTTTTTCTTTTTTAATGATTCACTCAACAAATGAATGACTGATTGTCATATTCACCATCTTTCTATTGTAAATTCTTGAAGACTGACAGTCTGGGATTGGGAAAGACTTATTTTACAAACTTTTTCTCTCTGGTCTAAAATATCGATTATTTTTTTGTGCAAAGAGACTTAATTCATCGAACTGTGATTTATTACCATTTTTAAGAAGAGAAAACTTCTTTTTTTAATTACTTTTTAAAGGGACGTTATTAAAAAAAACGTTTTCTTGATTATTAAATTAAAATTTTACTGTGAACTGGACAAATTGTCCAGTCTTCTACAATAAATTTTTAATTTTGTTATCATTTTACGGTTTTACTTATTTTGGTTGATCCATGTTTGTGAATTTTTTTACACTTGTCAGCTGATTATTGACTTTCAAAATTAAACACTGCGTACTAATGATACTGAACTGCATTCAATTTAAAAATCTGAATCAACAAAAAAGTGAAAATGAACAAACGAGTTTCAACACAAAATATTTTTATTTCTACAGTTTTTTTTTTTTTTTCTCCTTACGTTCGTAACCACCGAGAGAGAGACGTCACTGTGCGCCCAAAACGTTTATTTATAATATAAATAAACGTTTTAGGGATAAATTTTGAAAAATTTATATAGTGATGTGATTTCGATAGACTTCTTGGAGAACATATGCTCTCCAGCAGGTTTAAAACTTGCACACGTTTTTTGTAGGAGAAACCAATGTCTGATGCGATGTACTTAAGTTCGTTCGGCCACAGCCCGGCAAGTCTCTCAAATGCACAAGCCGGTAGACGTAATTCACATTGAGAAACACACATACACACAGATCGTTTGAAGTCGTAGCATACATTTTCATATACTGTATAACCTGGTGTATAATGTAAGACGTGAAATTTCCCGATTATGCATTGCAATCAGTTACCGAACTAGTTCGCCATTTTTAAGAACTGATTGTAAGTTTTTTTAGCTTTCTTTTTTTTTTTTTTTTCAGTCGTTTATTTACTTTCTCCAATAATTGTTTGTTCATAATCATTTATTATTTATTAGAAATTAATTTGTGAACCCGAATGCCTAAATATTTTTTTAATTTTATAACTAAAAGATTTTTAGTAAGACAAAAAGTAAAAACTCTTCTTAAATAATCTGCAGATGTAATTAAAGTTCAAGTTATCTTTAAATTTAAAATTAAAAAACAACCCTTAACTGTGTAGTTTTCCGTTTTAAATTACAATAGTGATAAATAAGTTTTTTTGTGTGACAAGAAAATTAAAGTTAAAAAGAAAAAAAAAATTTAAACTAAAGAAAAAGCTTTATCTTTTTATGTATTTTTTATTTTTTTTTATTTTGCTTTCCAATTGATATGATGTTTCACCATTTTAAAAGATACATCCCTTTTGTTATGTGCTTGAATAATAGTTGAGAAAGCAGTAAATTGGCGCAAAATAATCTTTCTATTATTGTTTCTTTTCCATTGGAATGTGTATATCGCACTATTTGAATTTACCTACTCACTAGTTTCCTTATTGGAATTCATTAACAAAATTCATTTCACTTATATTGATGTATATCGTATGATGACAGTGTCTCTAACACAACACGCCTATTTTCTTTTGCTTTTTTTCTTAAGCTTTCCTTTCACTACTGAATTAAAAATTCATTTTTTAAAAAAAAACAAAAAACTCGACTTGATTGCTATATACTAGAATTTTAATTTCAATTGCTACAACTAAGTAATTTTATCAAACTATATAAATTTATATTTTCTAATTTGAATATCTTTTTTTTTTTTTACAATATACATCTGTATATTTTTTAACTTTAAGTTTTTAAGGCTTCTCTCGTCAATGACTGAATTTATAATTCTTTATCATATAATGAATGAATACAAAAGGAAAACTTATCTTTAAAAGATAAAAAAAATCTTGTCTTTGCCCATGTTATCTTTTTACAGATATATTTTTTTTAGTTATATATCTGAATGTTTTTTTTGGTTTTTTTTACACACACAAATCTGGGTCAGACTTTGCTTGTGTGACTTTAAAGATTTCAACACTATTTGTAATAATTATAGAACTTTTTTTTTTTTTTTTTACAACTCTTGTACTTGACAGAATTAACTAAAAAAATCCAATTCCTTATCATAATTTTCACACTTGATGCGAAAAAAAATCCTTTCACAAAAAAAAATAGCGTATACATTCACACTGTACAATCCTGTCCCCCTTCTTAATTCAACGTCAAAGTTGTTTTATCAAATGAATTGCTGTTTTTGTTGCATTTATAACTGTTGGAATTTTTCGGAAATGATATTATTCACCAGACTGGAAGGAGGAAAAAGTCTTGAGATTTTGTGGTTGAATCACTGAACTATTTTTTTTTTCCGTCGGTTTTGTGGCAAATTTGTTTTTCAAATATCCAGTTCTTTTAATTATTATTATAAAATCATGCTGGTTGCTTAACAAAACAGTGGAAAATAATTAAAACAGCATTTGCAATTAATAAAATCGGTATATAACATTATCTTCTACTTTAAAGAAAAAAAAAAGAAATCGTTTTTATATTCTCATTGACTTTTCTTTCCTTCCTCCATTCGACACTCTGGCACCCGACCCGTCTATTCATTCATCAGTCATTCATTCATTCTTACAACCAGCCATTCATTCATACAAGTAGTAACACGCCTCCTACTATCAGCCTAATGCGTATGTTCTACATTATAACCAGTTATATAATCTCTTAGTTCCATCTGCTTAAATTTATATATGATGCAATTTACAATTAAAAAAAATAGATGTGTGTGTGTATGTATATATATATATATATATATATAATACCAATATTCTTTGTCCATTTTTCCGATTTCTTCTACAAAAAAGCGTGTAAGCAGATTCTACATTCTAAAAATATCAAACGACGACAGCGTAGTTAATATTTTTTCTTTGTTAAGTAAACTCTTTTTTAAATTTTATAGACATAAATGTTTTTTTTTTCTTACTTTTGTGACTGATTAACTGTTTTTTGTTCTCTTGAAAAGAAAATTGCAAATATTTTTTTAAATGGCCATATACATAAAAAATGTCCCAAATTTAAATTTTAAAAACTAAGTTCTATCGTCAAAATCTGTTAATTTAGGAAGAGAAAAGACCAAGGGATTTTTTAATTTATTAATTTTTTTTTTTTTATCCTTTTTAGAATGTTGGAAATTTTGGTTAAAAATCTTGTTTTTCTTGCGTCAGCGGGGTCGGGGGAGATTAATATAAGAAATGTTAAAACTTAAATTACTTTTTTTTTTTTTTTTTTTTTTTTGCGATGAAAAATACAAATTTGGAAATTCTTGCAAAATTAAAATAATTATCGGATTTTAAAAAAAGCTTTCGGGACTTATTCACAAATGAATTTTAGAAATGTTTCTTAAGAAAATCTTGGTAAAAAAATTTTTTTTTTTTTTTTTTTACATTCCTCCTACTTACTGAAAATCTGCTCTGAATTGTAAAATAAAAAAAATGCAATAAAAACTAAAACATTATTTAATTAAAAAAATAGTGTCCATAACATCTTATTCATAAAGCAATTAAAAATGTTTCTAATTAAATATCTTCCTTTTACTTCATTTCTTATTTTACAATTCATAGCAGCTTTTCTGTAACTGGGGGTCCTGTTTTATTTAAACCACAAAAATTTCATGATTTATTCTCAGAACTTATCTTTAACTAATAAACATTTTTACATCTGATTTCTCTTTCAGGAGATATTGGAATTGTTTTTAGTCTTTCTTTAGTATATAAACAAATTTTGATAATTTCAGAAATCAACAGGGATATCAGTGCATGTCATATTACTTTGCTAGTTATAAGAATTTCTTGTAGCTCTCATACTGTCCAGACCTAAAAATTCTGGACAATATGAGAACCACAAGAAATTCAAACCAAAAATGACTACAATATTCATGAAATACCGTTTTTTTTTGTTTTTTTTTGTTTTTTGCGTTATAAAAATTCCAACTTTATAATATAGCAAAAACTAAAAATGTAATAATAATAATTTAATTATGTGTGATGAGATCTGAAGCTGACCCAAAAACAGTCATAAGAGACCAGAAAGTTACTATTCTTTGTGGCTTTACCATTCATACTGGCAAACATATAAAAGCTAATAGACCAGATATAGTGATTAAAGAAAGACTACAAACAATAAATTGCTTTCTTTATAGATATGACAGAGCTGTCAAATAAAAATATATCTGTTAAAGAATGTGATGAAATAGATGTTGAAATTGAAAAAATTTTTCCCTTAAAACTATTATTACCTCTATAATAATTGTAGACCTGAAAGAAAGCTACATGCATGCATATTAACAAAATCCTTGGCAGTCCCTGTTTACTCAAACTACATCTGGCCGCAAGACCTCTGATCAGGAGATTGGAGGTTTTGAGAAGCATGGAACTACCGCTCGACTGCTGTTGTTCCCAGGTCCACCTTCAATCGGGGGTGGTAATATAGGTTAGGGTCCCAGCTATGGGCACGTAGTGAACCCTCAAATAAAAACCAACACTACATTTTTATAGTAAAATGACAATACAATACTAAAAATGTACAAAAATGCATTTTTATAATTACCAGCAATAGATTTTTGTAGTGAACTTACAGCAATACATTAAAAAAAAATTATCAACAATGATCTACAAAGTATATATCTAAAAAAAACATGTTTAAACTAAAATTATAAAATTATGTACAGTAGTTGAAAGTATAAAGTTACAAAATATTTAGATTTTGGCATAAAATAACCCATAGAGGCTGATATGATGCTAAACAAATTTGGCCCTGTTTACTAGAGATCAAAAAATTACTCTGTGGGGAACTGATCATCTACTCAAGAGAGTGTTATCAATATAAAGAAAATATATACAATGTGCTTGTTAGTTATCACTTAACCTCAGAATTTGTACAAAAAGAATGCATAGATTTACTCTTTGGCCTTATCCTAGGTTTCAGGTAATGACCTGGTGAGGAACTGTTATTATGATGATATAACAGAAGTAAATGTTTCATTTAGTTTTCATTCAAGTTTAATTTGTTTTGATACATGCCAAATAAGGTTCTTTTTTTATTCATATCATCTCCATATTTTTTTGTTTTGTTTTGTTTTTTCTCCTTTTGGGGAAAACCCTTTTGGAATGTGGAGTACATTGTTTTTTGTTTTGTTTTTTTTTCTCAATTTCATTTTATTACACTTAGTATTATTGATATTTTATCCACTGTCTGTTTTAGGTTACTTATTTAAATTAATATACTATTTATATACAGGGTGGAGCAAAAATAACACTTTTTTTTTATTATTAACTTTTATTGAACAAAAATAAGTCACAGTAGTTTAAGAAAATTTAGAAATATTGTCACATCAAAACAACCTTATTTGTTATGATTAACAAACTATTTAATACATTCAAAATGCCCCACTTCGTCTTCAATACAACACTGAACACTATCAGCAACACTTCTACAAATAATTTGACCTATTTCTACACATTAATTTCAGAAAATTTATCAGAAATTGCTTTCGATTTGAGTCTGTAAAGATCTTTCAGTACACCCTACAAGAAAATGTCTGGTGATGTTTTTAGATCTGGTGATTGTGATGACCATTAAATTGCTCCACATCATCCTATCCACCTCCACTCAAAATTAAGCTTTAACTATTCCAAAACATGTAAGCTATAGCTAATCTTAAGTCATCTCAAATTACTGTAATTTATTTTTGTTTAGTAAAAGTTAATAAATGAAAAAAGGATGTTACTTTTGTTACACTCTGTATATCTTTACACACAGATACGCCCACACATACGTGTATGTGTGGAGATTTGACTTTATTAACATGTAGAAAGAATTGCAACCACATTTAAATTTTCACTTAAATTTATTTTTCCCCCCATTTCCTGTTTTGCAGGAGTCAGTCAGCCAAACAATAACCAGTCAGGTTTTGATATTTTGGCAAATTACCAGAATTTTGAAAAATACCAGTCAGCTGCCAGCGTCACTGGTCGGGTGAATCATCGTTCTCCAATTCGTCCATTCTTCTGTTGTGGAAGCGAACTTTCTTTGTCCAGTATTGTGGAACTGCATGAATACAAACCCACTTCATCATCAGCCTCTTCCTCTGCAGACGAACACTGTTCCCACTTGGGCACGCACATCTCTTCACCTGACGATGATGAAGAGGAAGGTGGGAAGCATGCAGAGGGTCATTTGTCCTGCCAGCAGTGTAGCCATTTATGTAACGTTGACATTGAGCCTGCCACTGGGGAGAGGCGCTGGGGTGAAGGAGCAGCAGACAGTAGCCCCCCGCCTAAAAGCAAACAAAAGAAACCATGGTCAATGAAGCTCCGTAACAAATTACCAAAGGCACGTTACATGGACTATCGACTGTCCCTTAAGGAGTCACCACAGCGTTTTAATGATTGCAGTGTTCAAGGTGCGACTTGTGTTAATTTTGACACCTGCGCGCACCATTTGCTGCTGACACACTCTCAGCCTTCGTCCACTGCCTCTTTCCATCTTTCTTCATCCAACCAGTGCTCTCCGACACCAGTTCGTTCCTCAAAAGGAAGACATCGGAAAAGGCAGAAAAAAAATAGCATAGCAAGTGTTGCTTTCCAGCAACGACATTTGTCCTCGAGGCAGTTGGAAAATTTGTCAAATATTACTGATGTACAAATTAGCTCAAACAGAAATAGAATTGGCCAGCAGCATGTTTTGCGTGAACCTGTTGACAATGGCCTTAACAGAAATACTCCTTGGACTTGTCAAAACTTGTGTGCTGTATCACCTTCCTCATCTACTGATCAATTCTGTTCGACATTCAAACGTAATTGTTCTGTTCAAAGTGTATCTGGCTCTTATAAACCATTCTCCCTCAAGTTTAATGATGAAGAAGAATTTGAAAATTCCCAAATTATGGACTATTCCACATTTAACACTCCTGAAGTTACATTTCAGCGTATCCACAGTCGGGTGGAGTTCACACATTGTTTAGTACCAGAACTGCAACAGATTGCCAATTGTAGTTTTTACTGGGGTGTTATGGACAGGTACGAGGCCGAGAAACTCCTTGAGAACAAAGCCGAGGGGACATTTCTTTTACGTGACAGTGCCCAAGAAGATTTTCTCTTTTCTGTCAGTTTCCGTCGTTATGGTCGTTCACTCCATGCTCGCATTGAGCAGTGGAACCATAAGTTTAGTTTTGACTCTCACGACCCTGGTGTGTATGCAGCACGAACTGTATGTCATTTGATAGAACATTATAAAGATCCCAGTTGCTGTATGTTTTTCGAGCCAATGTTGACTCTGCCTCTTAACCGGACATTCCCTTTTTCACTTCAGCATTTGTGCCGGGCTGCCATATGCAGTCTTATCACCTATGACAAAGTTACCTGTTTACCTCTTCCAGCATCGTTAAAAGAGTTTCTTCGTTATTACCACTACAAGTTAAAGGTTAATGAAAAGCGGTTTTGAATATCATTGCGACGTGTAAATTTAACCCAGGTGCAGATCCAGGTGCAAAAGGATCAAATATAAAATTATTCCGTGTAAAATTTTCACACTTTTTGGAAAGTTAATATTTTTTATACTATATTCTTATTTTAAGGTTAAAGTTTCTTTTAGACAAACCTCAACATAATGATAATGAGTTGATTCAAAATTAATCAGTATTAAGATGGGAGATGAATCTCTACAGTGAAAACTATTGACAATCATGCAAATTGACTTTATTTAGGAATTATTTGGTACTAAGTAGTACATAATTACCAAAACAATGGCTTTTGTGTAGCATTCTTTTTTCAAATGAGGAGATCTGCTCATCAAAATATTTGAATTGATAATTCCATTTAGGACAAGTATAAGACCTTAATCCATAACTTTTCTCATCTCCTGTTTGTTCAGATATGTTCAGGAAAAAAAAAAAAGTAGGTGTCAAAATACAGGGAGTCCACTAACGACAGAGTTCCGTTTCTATGATACGTCATAATTTGATTTTTAAGTTGGAACATACTTGCAATTTTCCATGAATAAGCACTTATGCCACTCACCTGTATTGATGTAATAGTGAAGTATAGTCTAGAACATACCAACACATTTCTAACAGAATTAGAGCTTTTAAAAAAAAAACACATGGAGGACATAAATATAATGCATGTGATGAAATGAAATTGCTTGTATATTTATTGCCAGTGATGTCATTGGCTCTTGTTAGATGAGATTACAAAGCATAATATCTTGTCTTTCTTGCAGTGCTCGGAAGTAGCAGTAAATCTGGGGAAGAAAGACAGACAAACATGAGTTTGTTTTTTACTTGGAATTCACCAACTTATAGTTTAACAAGAAAATGTTTTTATCTCTTACAGGGAAACTCATTATGTATACACATATGTACATATTTTAAGCAAAAGACAAAGGACTTAAACCATGTAATCGGCCAATGTTTGTCACTGTTTCTCCCTTTTCCAGGTGTTTAACAATGTCTAATTTCACTTCCACGGTGATGGCTTTTCTTTTCAAAACACCACACTATCAGAAGAGGTTACACTACACTTGGAAACCATAATGAAGGGCAATAAGTTCCCATGTACACAATACAAAGTGAAAGAGTGTGAATGCATAACAATTGAATGTCATACAACCAAGAACTGACCCACACCACCTTATGTACAATGTAAATGGTATAAGTCCAAACAAGATTGATGGAGATTGTATAATAATCACAAGTTATCATAGGTCTGGACTGTCGTAACCCAGGGACTTACTCTGATGCATTAATATGAGGGCAGATGTAATCTATTTCTTTTATGACATGTAAACCAGTTTATGTTGTTTTTGTCAGCCATCTTTCTTTTTTAATCACAGAAATTGAAAATTCTAACTATTGACTATTTTGCATACTTTAAATTTCTAATTTAACATAAATATGCCAATGTTTTTGTTTATGTAAACCTGCAACGATGTCAATGTAAAAAAAACCTGGTCAGTTATTTAGCTAAAATCATTTATGAACTTTGTCTCAAATATTTTACAACATCTTCTCTGTCACAGATTTATTATATCATCAGCAATTTCCCATTGCCTATTGTTCCTATATTATTAAAACCGTTATTCATCTTGGATTTGTAAATGTGAATTTTAATAGTTCAACAATTTTGCTTAATCAAAAATTATAAATTTTACAACTTTTTTTTTTTTTTTAACACTATTGTTCACCCAATACAAGGCCCAATAACCACTCAATGTAGAAGGTTACTGAATGGGGTGGTTTTAAGGATGTAAGAATTATAGATTATGAGGATGTGTAGGATAGATAATGGTTCACCCTAGACTTGAAGAGGTTAAGATTGTAGTGATCAGGCAAGCATTCTCTTGAGATTCTTAAGAAGAAGCCATCTGAATTGAACTTCCTCCTTACCAATGGAATACAAAGAGAATGAAAATGATTTGTACATGGCATGGCAGACCTCAGCTGTAAATGTCTGAATTGCTGGAACTAGGAGATATAGCCCATCAGAACATTTGTCATGGAAATGTTGAAAGTAGCAATAAACTTGTGACATCACATCGATGGAAATGAGATTGTAGGATGGAAAATATTTCATCACTTACTAGGCCATGTAAATGCTTTTGAGTTCTGGTGAGGCTGGAACGAGAAGATTAAGCAATCCCAGCCCAGATATGATGGCAGCAATACTTCATTTTCATTCTGACATATATTCCACTTAAGATTTGGTAAACTGGAGTCTGACTTTTTTCTGCTGCAATTATGATTATAAAATATAATTAGAAAAATAGAAGCAAAAATTAAACTGCATTATTTTTTTAATGAGATTATTATTTTAGATATTTTAAATATAACAAAATAATTATCTTTAGGTGCTACTGTTAGTGATGAGATGAACCAATCTATTCGGACATTAAAACCTTATGAACGAAGCAATCTTCAATATAACAGCCTCATGACTGATTTAGAAAATTGTTACACGCCTTAAAACTACTCTCCATTTTGAATATAATTTTAAAAATGTTGTTTAAAGGTTATTTTTTGCCTTATCCAGAGTTTTAGTTTTGCCATTATATGGATTTTTGGCAGTATATATTTTTACAGTTGATATTAGCTCCTTAAATTTTTTCACAGGGGCTTAAGATTTTCATAACACAAGAGAAAAATAAGTAATGGATGATATATTCCTCTGACAAGAAAACCTCATAGGGTATTATGAGCAAACATGTACACATATATATATATATATATATATATATATATATATATATATATATATATATATATATATATATATATATATGTGTGTGTGTGTGTGTGTGTTTGTTTCATTGAATAATATAGATATATGTCTATTTATTTTTATAATAATCCTTTCCAGTTGTCTAATCAGTTTCTTGATGTTTTTCAAGGAAGGCGCTTGAGTTTTTTTCCTACCCATGTACTTCCAATCTTCTCCAAGAGCATCCTCAGCAGTGAATTATATCATACTGATCTTGTAGGAGATTGAAAGCACTTGGGTAAGAAAAAACTACAGTGCCTTCCTTGATGAACTGGAAAGGATTATTATGAAATAAATAATAATACATCTACATTATTCAATGGAACATGTTTGAATGAAGATATGCTGCCTAAATATACACACACATACTCACAAAGAGACTAGTTTCAAATTGTTACTTGTTGAACCAAAAAAAAAAGTTTGATTCTTGTCTGACAATTGCTCTGCATGAAACTATTAGTGAAACCTAGTTTCTTTGTTATACCTGTTTCATTAGTGTTACTGCTGTGTCTTGGTCTATTTGCTATAGGTATTGAGCATGGACTTATTGCCTAGGTAGGTGTCTGCTGCTCTATTTGGGAGCTTTACAAATAGTTTGGTTTATTTCAGTTTTATATAGTGTGTGTGAGTGGGAGACAGAATCAATAAGAGGAAGAATGTATGTATGTTTGTTAAACTTTATGAGAATGGATGATGTAAAAACATGGAGTCAAGTTCAAAAACAATGTACAAAGCACACAAGATACTTTTAAATGACCTCTGGCAACAACACAGTTCACTAAAATATCCTTACTTTTTTGTAAATCTATAAGCCAGAGAATTATTAATAATTTAAATATTTTATCTGCATATGACTTGATCAATTAAATTTTCTCAGAATTATTTTTTTTCACTTTTTTAACAGCGTAATAAATAAAAAGGGGACTAAAATGGTTGATATTCAAATTTAATGTGGATGTTTTTTACTTTTTTCAAGTAGAATGGATATGTAATAATTCAGAGCAAAGTGAAAGATCACATTTGAGGAAAATTTATATTAACATTATAAAGTGGATGACTAATGGTGTTGTAAAATTTTTTTTTAGTATTATTTATTACTAACTGAAGTGAAATTTCCAACAAGCAAGTTTCAAAATGAGCTCATTGGAAAACTTAGTAATTAAAAATGAAAGATGGCTGACACTGAAGAAATGCATTTTGGGTTGCATTGAAGAAAGATGAAATAGAATGGAAGACAGATTGTTCAGTTTATTTTACTCCAGAAATTTTATTATTTATCATTGTTTCATGGCATGTGTTTTTTTTTTGTTTTTTAATTGAGTTTCTGTCCTTATCTACTGGAAACTCTTCAGTGACTTCATTATTAAAAATGATATACTTTATTTACATAAAATATTTTTAACATTTTATAATCATTTGAGTGTGAATGTATTCTTATGTATAAAGATATTCTATTGTACATGAACACACATAACATTTATAGATATGTATGAAAAATATTCTTGATAAATACTTATCACATTTTTTTTTTTTTTTTTTTTTTTTTTTGCAACTAATATTTTAAAACGAGAAACCAATAACCAATTACTTCTCAATAAATAAACTTATTTCACCAAAACATAACTCAATTTTGAAACTTTTTATGTATTGAATGTGTAAACAAATGACAAATGAAGTAGCCATTTATGACAGAAGCAAACAGTCTAACCCAATCATTGCCATCTGTTTAAACAACTCGGCCTCATTGTAATAAATTAAAGTTTATCTTCCCATAAGTATATACATTTTGTTCATTATTAAATTAATTTTAATTTAAGTTCTCTTACTTCCTGCTAGAAATTACTTAGAGCAACATTAACCATTATATTTAATCTATAACTAGATTTTTATTCTTCATATCAAACTGTGTTTTATGTTATTTTTTTCGTCTTCCATATTTAATGACTGGGTCATTTCAAATATTATCTCCTACTTTATGCCAATTTGGTTGATTTTTTTTTTTTTTTTTTTTTTTTTTTTTTTAAGGTAAACTTTTATCTGAATTTCCAAGTTGTATTTATATATATTTTGAAAAAAAAAAACATTGATTTTTGAAGGCGGGAAATTCCAAAATGTCAAAAGTTGTTTTATTTTTGATTCTTCTGCTCATCCATAACATTTTTTGGTATTATATGAAGTCATAAAAGC